CATACACTGTATATTGGGAATACCCTTGACTGATCCTATACTATATATTAGGGGTACCCTTGGGTCATCAGCTGCTGTATATGAGGCATATCCTTGGGTCATCAACTACTATATATCGGGGGTACCCTTGGGTCATCGGATACTACATATTATGGGTACTCTTGGTTCCTCACATGCTATATATTAGGGGTACCCTTGGATCGTCATTTACTATATATTAGGGGTACCCTTGGGTCATCATATACTATATATTGGGGGTGCCCTTGGGTCATCAACTACTATGCAATAAGGGTAGCCTTGGATAATCAACTACTATGTAAAAAGGGTATTCAAGTGTCATTCACTAGGATATAGGGGTACTATCCATAATCCAGCAACTGCTATATAAGTGGTGGGTCTCAACAGTTCATGAACTACTCTATAATGGAGTACCTATCGCTCATCAGCTACTATATAATGGGAATATTGATAACTTTCGAGTGCTATAGAAATTGGGTATTCATTACTCTGGATTGCACTTTAACTTCATTTCAAAATTTCACTTTAAAGTTTAAAGTTTGAAGTAGTCATACTTTAAGACTTTACTTTGAATAAGTTAAAGTGAAAGAACAGCTACTTTTCAACACTCGTATCGGGGTGGAACTTTAACTTTAAACTTTAAATGTTAAAGTAGTTAAACTTAATGTTTAATAGCATTTCGAAAAGAACTTAATGCTAAATTTTTCGAGCTATGAGTAAGTCTGAGTTGCGGACAATTAAACATGGTGCTGCAAGAATAGAAAGATACTAACGCATCGTAAGTTACTTATTAATATGAAGTTTTTCTTTTTCTATCATAATCTATACCATATTCAGTACAGAGTCAGTTGGCTCAGTAGTATCCAATCGTCGAAGTTTATCTTTTGTTTGATGCTTAAATCCACAGTTCTTGTTCAAACATCATAATGTTTTAATATACACTCATCGATTCATAAGACGACTTGTGCATTTAGTATAGTGTGAACACCATTACCTTCACGATTCATGCATCCAATAGCATGATATTAAAGTCAGATTATCATTATGGGCTACTGTCAGTAGAGTTGCTGAGTTTATTATCAGATTTTCTTGAATATTTTGACAATCAGATTGACTCGAAGATCAAATACACAATCAAATATATTAAGCTATTCTCTTCTATCAAAAGACAACATTATGGAAAGGCGAGTTATATCTTTCCCTCAAGTTCACAATATATAACAGCGTGTGTAATCATAACAATAACTCATGGGAAGATGGCAAAACATCGAAAATGAAAACGTCGAAACGCAAAATACTGAAAATTACAAACTTTATAGGCACAATATCCAGGTCTTGCTCGAACGCTCCATAAAGAAATCAATAAAGGACAACGAGCACGCAGTTCAATAGTGTGGGTGAGGGCAAAATCTGTAGCTTCTACTTCATCTTTACGAGTTTCGAAAAGAATTATTTTCGAGATTTTGTATTTCAACGTTTTGACTTGCGATATTTTGCCACCTATTCTAACTCATCAGCACATCATCACCGTTTCGTTTATTATTGTCAATAGAATATTCATTACTCCAAGCTTCATCTCAATGTCAGTAAAAGTCTAAGAACAGCTATTGACACTACAATATATGTTTTCAGAAATAGTTTGAAAATAATGTACTGATATCTTGGTGTGAAATAAACGACTATTTTCGCTTACATTTTTTCCAAGGGGAGCAATGTCAAGGAAAAATAAGGCTGTCACAATAACTTTGAACAAAGACTAAACAGATGAAGGTGACCGCACTCTTTGGTTAAGTTTATCAACTGTTAAGTTCACGCAATATCTCGGAAGCTCCATTATAGCTAAGTTGAGAAAGATACTAAGTGTAGTGTTTTCAGAAGTCGATAGCACATTCTGCCTGCTCTAAACTGATTTCCTTTGTTAAACCTTTCTTGCATTTCATTCTTTTCTTACCAAAACTTTTTCGTAACAAAACTCCATACTTTAACGTTAAAAAGTTTAAAGCTAAATTTTACAATAGTACTTTAAACTTAAACCACTTTAACATTTAAAGTTTGAAATTTAAGTGCCACACTACCCAAGGATGCCCCGAATATATAGTACATGGTGACTCAAGGGTGCTCCCAATATATAGTACTTGATGACGCAAGGGTACCCCTAATATATAGTATGTGATGAGCCAAGGGTACTCCCAATATACAGTAGTTGATGACCCAAGGGTGCCCCTAATATATAGTATACGATGACCCAAGGGTACCCCCAATATACAGTAGTTAATGACCCAAGGGTACCCCTAATATATAGTATATGATGACTCAAGGGTACCCCCAACATCTAGTAGATGATTGCCTATGGATAACCCCGTTTCACAGTGCATGAAGAGTTATGGTTACTTCCATAAATGTTTATTCACTTCGATGAATTTTTAAGAAAAATTTTTTTTTATAGTGAAACATTTACTTTAACTTTAAATGTTTTAAAGTTCAAGTTTAAAGTATGGTCATTTTACCTTTAACTTTTAAAGTTCAAAGTCCCACTTTAAAATTTAACCACTTTAACCTGGAAAGTTTAAAGTTAAAGTGCCACCCCTACTCACACCCACACCCACACCTACACTCACATCCATACCCACACACACAGCCCACAACCACACCCACACCCACACACCCACACACCCATACACTCACACCCACCCAGCCACACTCCACACCCACACCCACACATCCACACGCACCCCACACCCACCCACACGTCCACACCCCACACCCTCTACATGAAAGAGCGCGTCGAATAACGTATAGAAAGTGAATTTTGTTATTTTATAAACATTTTAAAATGAATAAATAGAAATGAAACTTGTACAATCGTCCTTTCGCCGACATATAAACGAAAACTGCTCTGAAAATTATTTTTCAGTGATTATAGAATAACAAAATTCATCTTTCTCTACGTTATTCGTCGTATATGAAAAGACTAAACTAACCAATAGAGAAGAAAGGCAATAAAGACCATTGCTATGAGCACACACTAAAAAAAAATATGTCGAACTTATGTGTTGCGAATTATTGTGTCGCAGGCTCTCTCACGAAAATGTGTCATATATGAATTTGTTGCGTTCTGTTTGTTGGCTATTTATTTACCATCTTGTTTTGCAGACACAGTTACATATAGGCAGCTCGATTAAACATACGACACTTATGTATTTTCGTGTGACTTTTTTAAAAATTATTTCTCGATTAGATATTAGTCGAGAACATGCCGATTACGATCGATGATCGAGAGAGAAATATCTTGAAATGATCTGATCAAAATCGGACCGACTCGAAAGGGACAAATCTCAAGATCCCTCCCACTTTAGTTTTCAGAGTCTGTATAATTAATTGAAATTAAGTTGAAAAAATATCATGATTTGCTCTTACAGAAAAAAAATGAAAGATGCGCTGTGTACTAGATTCGAACCATATTCTCAGAATGTGTTGTGCCATTGCTGAACAAAATGTATCGCACTGGGGATGTGTCGTATATTGTGTCGCAAAGGACGACACGCGCGACACGTTTTATTTTAGTGTGCAGGATGTAGGTATGGGTATGGATGTGTGTTTTCTTTTCATCGATATTCACACCCGCGACTTCTATACATTTATAAAGGAATTTGATTTTATTAAAGTTCTTTTTTATTTACTGTCGTTGTCATATTAACAAATTTTTTTAAAACTTTTCTTACCTACCCGTTGGTAGATAAACAGAAATTCCCGTCGTATGCCTTGTAGTTGGTCGTACAACATTTTCAAATCTTGATTTGAATATAAACACAAGTGGAATGGTAATAATGCTAAACACACTAAATATCAATATGTATACAAAAGTACGTATGGTTTTCTTGCAATGCATGAAACAAAACGCAAGCATTGTAAGTATTTGCCTATCATAGATTGGCTCTTGAAGAAGACTAAGTTCAGCAAAATTCATCACTATAATATCTCTGATACCAAAAAAATCTAGTTGTAAATCATGTTCTAAATTTCTGAAGTAAACTCAAGGACGTGGTAACGAATTAAAATGACTCTGCTCATCATATTTTGCCATACTCGTACATGTAAGAAAATGCGCATGCAGTCCTCATTTTTGATTTTATGATGTATATTAAATACTTTTTCATACTGAATGAGCCGACTCTTTTTCTTGTGAATAAGTAGTAGAAAGTAAATTTTTGTGTTCTCTTCTTTTCTTTCTTATTCGTGTAAAATTATTGTCTATCATTCTTTGTAATCGGCTGTACTATTTAACATGGGTCATAAAGCTGTGAAACTGAACAGAAGTGGTCAACAATATAAAGACGATCAGTTCATTCCGAAAACATCAAACCGATGCAGTTCATTAAATGAAGAAAAATTCGATCCATTTATGCTGATTTGGTTGGATGAAAAATCGAATGAAAATACACTTGATGCTCTTCGTCCAAAGACTTTACTTCGACAAATCAACAATAATTGTTGTTTATTCTTTGATAATCTCAATATATTCCTCCATGAAATCGAAAAAATGTATCACGAAAATAAAAAAGTTCTTGTTATCGTATCTGGATCATTTGCTAAGATGATTCTATCATGAATATTAGAGATGATTTCAACAATTATAATATTCTGTAATAATTATAACAAACACGCAGAATTAATGAGTAGATATTGGAATGTAACAGACATTTGCACCGATCATGAGACACTTAAAAGTTGTATACAATGTAAGATTCCTTCATTGAAACTAAATTTATTTATCAATCAAACTTTTAGATCAATTAGACTATTGAATTCTTCAAAAGAAGCTTATGAAATCAATGGAGCTCATTTCTCTTATCTTCTATTCATTGAATTATTCAAACAAATGCCACAAACGAAACAAGCCAAAGAAATTATGCTAAATAAATGTAAAGATTATTATCGTCGCAATAAGAAAGAACTCGAAAAAAATCGATTTGTTTCGTTCTATGTACACAGCTGATAAAACGATCGATTGGTATACTCAAGATTGTTTTGTTTATCGTTTAGTTAATCAAGCATTTCATACAGAGGATATTATCTTATGGTACTTATTTCGATTCCTTATTATCGATCTTTGTACTCAATTGGAGAAAGTTCATAAAGAACAAAATATTCAAGAATATTTAAAACTTTATCGTGGTCAAGCACGATTACCAACGCAAGAATTAGAAAATCTACGCTTCAATATTGGTGATTGTATTTTAACGAAGGCTTTTCTTTCAACAAGTAAAGACATCAAAGTCACTCAACAGTTTATCATAGGTGCAAAGGACAACGATGATTTCAAAGTCGTCATATTTGAAATTATAGTAAATGTATTTCAATTAAGAAGTTTTATTTTTGTTGATATTGATCAATGTCAAAGAAAAAATGGAGAACAAGAAATTTTATTCAATATTGAATCAGTTTTTAAAATTCAGAATGTTGAATATGATTTTGAATTGAATGTCTGAAAAATTCAGATGGAAGCAATAGATGAATGCATACATGAGATAAAACGTAGAATCGATACAATGCGAAATAAGTTTCAAAATGGAAGGATTAATTTATTATTCGGTCGTTTATTAATCGACATGTATCAGTATACTAAGGCCAAATCTTACTTTCAAATGATGTTACATGTTTTGCAAAAAGATCACGAAGATTTAGCCTCTGTATATGATCATATCGGAGATCTGAACATGCGCATATGAACAATTGAAATGAAGCTTATAAAAATTTTTGTTTAGCTTATGACATAAAAAAGATTCGCTTGCGTACCAATCATTGGAGTCTTGGAGTGACGCTAAACAGTATCGGTAATTATTATCAAGCGATTGGAGAATACACTGAAGCTCTCAATTGTTATTCGAAAGCATTACAATGCAATAATGATCAACATAATGCAGCGATTACTAAACTAAACATCGGAAACATTTATACGATCAATATAATTCATGCATTGTCAAGATATTCTTGGAGATATTTACTTTGCTCAAAAGGATTATGTCGCTGCAGAACATTTCTATCTAACAGCATTCGAACTCAGCAAGAAGCTCGTATTTATTGGCGCTCGAGAACGAACAAATTGTGTGAAAGCACTGGCTGATTTATATCAACAGAAAGACAATAATTACCATGCAATTAATTTCTGTCTCGAACAAATTACTTTGTATGAAGCACATCCTGGAGAAAATTACTCGAGTGTCGTCCATCTACTCATGAAAGTAGAAGAACTTCATTTAAATGATGATCACCAAAAATTCCAAGTCTTCAAAAGAACATTGCATATCTTGGAGCAAAATGTTCATCTTGAATATGCCACTACGGCAACATATTTAATGATGGTAGCCAAGTGTTATGTTCAGCAAAACCAATATGATAAAGCTTCTATGTGCTACATTAGAGCTCTGGAAATACAAGAGAAAATTTATCCATCAAATCATCCTATCATTATTGGAACACAAATATTAATTGATGTTCACGAGAATAAGACGAACTAATTCTATTCCTAGAACTCGATCGATTCATATTTTCTTAGAAAAAGAAATTGAGAATTACTTTTGTACAGAAGGCGAGGGTGAGGGTGTGGATGTTGACGTAGGTGTGCGGTGTGCTGGTTCTTTTTTTATCCGTACCCACACCCACATTCGCATAACCAGGTAGGAGTTAGAGATGACACCACCACTAACCTTTAGGAGGCTTTGAGCTCCTTCTAGAAGCATTGTCAGAGAAACACCACAGACACCTTAGCAACAGTATTTGTCTTCTTCTTCATAGATCGTTGTAGATATAACCACGAAATCGAACTCGACTGTCGAATTATTATGAAAAATGATTGAATGTAATATAAGTGTTGTGTAAGCTTCATATCAAACTTCTTGTAATATATTATGACTAACATCTTTCATCACAGACATACCTAAACAATACATTCGAATTGATAAGCTGAACTCTATGTTGCAGAATTTTCTGATTTGCAATATAATGTTGCTGTATATTGTGTTTGACATTTCCATCTTGCATGTATGATGTTAACCACCTTTATTATCATAAAATAGAATTTAACATTTTCAATATAATATTGTTCCTTCCTTTCAATTTACAATTGATCTCCATTTCTAATCATCACTTAAGACGTTTTGCGATATAACTCTCTCGTTCGTAATTAAATATCGTGATTCATCATTTTGTATAAAAAATAATGTCCATTTCAAAAAAGACGGCGGGTGAGTATTCTTTGAATAACTTTCGAACGGATTGATCTAGAGAGCTGTGGTTTCCACCATTGGAAAGAGGAGATGAAGCAAGGGGGAAACGGCGGACTTGAAGTAGAAAAGTACGCCAAAGTACGTCAAAGTAGACTACTTGAAGTAGCTCAAAGTACCACCCAAGTAATCCAAAGTAGAAACAAGTAGCTTAAAGTAACTTCAGGTGAATTTGAAGTTGAAAAGTACTTCAAAGTAAGCTACTTCAAGTAGCTGAAAGTAACTTGAAGTAGCTTAAAGCAGCTCACAGTAACTTCAAGTCCAAAAGTCCGCCGTTTCCCCCTTGAGATGAAGACGCATCGAACTATATATGAAAAGATTTTTCTGCCTACTTTTCTAAGAGTTTTACATGAAGCTTCTAGAAAAAAAAGCATGCGTCTCATGGTCGCGATATTAATTTATTGATTTCCAGGAGTGTGCTAGAGTCGCCAAATAAGGAGCTACAAAACTACGTAAAGACTCTATTCCTAAATACTACCAATAAGATATTCTAGTCATTGGAATCCAATTTACCACTCCATTTTTTCAACAAAATAATCGAAAAATTAAAGTTTTTGTAATGTTTTGATGAAAAATCCCTTGTTTTAACGTATGAGAAGAAAGTAATTTTTTGAAAACGTTTGATTAAAACTCTTAGGAAAGTAGTAGTCAAAAAAATCTTTTCATATATGGTTCGATGCGTCTTCATCTCCTCTTTCCAATGGTGGAAACCACAGCTCTCTAGATCAATCCGTTCGAAAGTTATTCAAAGAATACTCACCCGCCATCTTTTTTGAACTGGGCATTAGTCGTTCATTAGCTGATGCATTATGATAACTTTTTTCATCATCGCTAAAGCTCTCAACATGCTTCATATTGATATTAGTTGTTCATCAATTGACTCATTCGACTGTTGTTCGTTTTTTTTTGGCAATTGACCATGGTACATATATAAATTTCGTGCAACTTATTGATGTTTTTTCAAAGATACTCAAATAAATAGTTATCTTTCTTGTTTTCATGATATTTTGTTCCTATATATGAACTAGCCAGTTATGCATCTTGAATAACCAAGTGTACATATAATCTTTTAGTTTCGATGTAATGTTACCTTTAGAACTTAGTAATATCAATTCGACATATTTAACAATAATTAGTGTCTAATCGAGGTCAAAAGCCGACTGGGGAGCTGATCCTCTCCCCATATTTAAATTTCTGATAACGCGAGTAGATTATATATATTTCCTTTCTCGAAAAGATAACGTGCGTCTTTTTATACTTTTCTGTCTTTTACCATGAGATTTCTCTAGTGATAAGATTTGTTGCGGCTTTTATGTAATTATGTATGAATAAATCTGATATCATCATAAAATATATATATATTTTTTTTTTGATTGCTAAAAATAAATTATAACAATTTATGTTAACAATAGAAGACACATATTAAGTGAAATTAGGTTTGACGAAGAAAAAGAATAGATAAAAAAATGATATACACTTTGGTTTAAGTTAATCATCATTTGAAAAGTAAAAATTTATTTTTCAGTTAAGAATTTGCCATGTTTGATATGAATGATGTCATAGTACCTATAATGGCATTTATTTACATAAAATGATTATTTTATTATTAAAATCTAAATTTGAATATAAGTATAAATCTAAAAAAAGCTACATATGTCAAAAATAAAACTATACTATAAATTGATTACATTTTTGTATATAATCAATTTCTTGAATAAATCATAAGTAAATATCTCGTTTATTTTTTTAGTCGAACGACAACAACATATGCCTGTAAATCGTGAAAAAGTATTTATTAATAGAGATAAAAGTAACTTGATATGAGTCAGAATTTTTGTCGCGCGAGGTTTTTATCGTACGCCGTCGGCTGTCATTGATTACATGTACAGAATTTATTTTTATTTTCAAGAACAAAGTTTTTATTAAAAAAAAAGAATGATTTGAACATATTGTTTATAAAAATTTGTACAAAAGAATCGACATCTTTCCTCCATTATGATTGGTTATTTTTGCTTTTTTCGAATATGATAATTTTTGATTGGGGCAAACCTACTAGGAAGAGCCTTGTTAATGTTTTCTTTTTTAGTTTGAGTATCTAATTATTTTTCTTCTTCTAATAAATTGATTTTATTCTTTACAGAAATTGTTTTATATCATTAATAGGAACTTCTGTATTTTTATTACAATTTTCTCTTGTCATTAGATTCAAGTCGTCTTAGTTAGAAAAATTCATGTTGCTCCTGCAGGAAAAATAAGAGGAAGATGATTAGTCGCCTGCCCTTCTCTTTCAAGAAGTTTTTTTTTCTTCTGAAAAAATAAGTTTAAACTATCTTGAATAAGTCTCAAACAGTGATTTTTGTTTATGATCGTTTCTTTCTTTGAAAAGTATCTTTCTTTCAAAATTCTAGATTCATCGCTGAATCGCTCATCATATCCGTTATTATTAGAATTTATTTAGTTTTTATTATATTATTTTTCGAAACGATTAATAACTCAATTGGTTCTTGACTTGTCCTATTTTTATAATATTGAATCGTGTATATATTTTATAAGTATTCATTGGCTGTTTCGACGCATATATTTTATTTGTGCTTAGATATTAACCAATCAACTCTTAGACAAAGAAAAATTGATTAATTATGAATGTATGGATTTATTTTATATTGAGGGTTAACGTCTGTTTTTTTTTAATATTTGTAGACAACAATCGAAAGTGAAATCCAACAGATACATCATAGCATTGTTTGGATAGATGAACAACAAGGACACGTAGAATATAATTTAAAAAAAAAATTAATCAATATTTTTATATAATATATTGTTTTTAGCAGGCACTGGCAGTTGCAAATAATACTCAAAGAACAAATAATGGCAATCTATTAGAAGGTATCCAAAAAGAAAAATTATACTTAGGACATATCAAAAGTAGTGGCTATCATCCTATCTCAATTTCACAGGGATGGCCGGAGGCAGCCGGCATTGGGGGGCTGTCGCGATTTGTTGGGAGGTTGTCACAACCCCAGTCGGGCCATCCCCTGCAATTTCGTATAGACGGTTTGAGAAAATTTTCTTTTTATGTATACTGATAATAAAAACAAAGCTCTAGATTTCTACACTATTTGATCATTATTCATTTAATATCATAATAATAAAATCTCCATTAGATTTGTTTAGCTATGATATGTAACAATAACATTAGTCCATAT